CTGAAGCTTAATTTCGCTGGAAACACAATTCTTGGTTGGAACCCATTTTCTTTCAGTGTTTGAAATATGTTATTCCAGGATCTTCTAGCTTTCAGAGTCTGTGTTGAAAGATCAGCTGTTATCCTGATTGGCTTACCCCTAAATGTGATCTGCTTCCTTTATCTTGTAGCTTTTAAAATTCTCTCCTTATTCTGTATGTTGGGCATCTTCATTATAATGTGTCTAGGTGTGGGTCTCTTATGATTTTGCACATTCGGCGTCCTGTAGGCTTCTAGGATTTGGGATTCTGTCTCATTCTTCAAGTCTGGGAAGTTTTCTCATATTATTTCATTGAATAGATTGCTCATTCCTTTGGTTTGAAACTCTGTCCCTTCCTGTATCCCAATGACTCTTAAATTTGGTCTCTTGATGTTATCCCATATTTCTTGGATGTTCTGCTCATGGTTTCTTAACAGTCTTGCTGAGCTGTCTATGTTCTTTTCAAGTTGAAATACTTTATCTTCATTGTCTGATGTTCTATCTTCTAAGTGTTCTACTCTGCTGGTAGTATTCTCAATTGAGTTTTTAAGTTGGTTTATTGCTTCCTGCATTTCTAGGATTTCTGTTTGTTTTTTATAACCTCTATCTCCCTGTATAGTTGATCTTTTGCTTCTTGGATTTGTTTATGTAATTCATTGTCGAAGTGATCTTTCATTGTCTGATTTTGCTGTCTGATGTCTTCCTTGAGACTCCAGATCATCTGAAGCATGTATATCCTGAATTCTTTATCTGACATTCTATCTGCTGCAGCTATTACCTCTTCTAACGTTGAGTTGACCTGCATTGCTTGTGGTCCTTTCTTTCCTTGTCTCTTCATACTGTTTGCGTTCCTTTCTACTTGGTGAAACTGTTGTGCTATTGAATTTTCCCCCTATATATTTATATTGGTCTTGTATAGTTGCAAAGTCTCCCTTGCAGGCGCGGGCGGCGGCTCTGCCCCTCCTCCAATTGGGGCAATGTGCCTACCATGCCGGCAGGCCACTGGGCCTGCTCTGCCGGTCGGTAGCAGGTCCGCCTACCTTGCAGGCGCGGGCGGCGGCTCTGTCCCTCTGCGGGCCGCTAGGCTTGTTCTGTCGGTGGTCGCAGTTCTGCCTACTTTGCAGGCGCAGGCAGCGGCACTGCCCCTCTGCAGGCCTCTGGGGCTGTTCTGCCAGTGGGTAGCAGGTCCGCCTACCTTTCAGGCGTGGGGGGCGGGGCGGCTCTACCCTTCCTCAGGCCACTGGGCCTGTTCTGTCTGTCGGTTGCAGGTCTGGCCTGTTCTGATGGTGGTCACAGTTCCGTCTACCTTGCAGGCGCGGGGGAGGGGGCGGCTCTGCCTCTCAGCAGGCCGCTGCTCCTCTTCTGCCGGTGGGTTGCAGGCCCGCCTACCTTGCAGGAGTGATTGGAAACTCTGCCCCTCCACGGGCGACTGGGCCTTTTCTGTCGGTGGTCACAGTTCCACCTACCTGGCAGGCGCGGGGGGTGGGGGGCGGCTCTGCCCCTCAGCAGGCCACTGGGCCTGTTCTGTGGGTGGTCACAGTTCCGTCTACCTTGCCGGCGCAGGGGGAGGGGGCGACACTGCCTCTCAGTAGGCCGCTGCTCCTCTTCTGCAGGTGGGTCGCAGGCCCGCCTACCTTGCAGGAGTGATTGGAAGCTCTCTCAGGTGACAAAATTATAAGAAAAAATTAAAGGTCAATACACTTCATGAAATCCTGAAGAAAATAATAGCCAATAGAATTTCCAGCACCATAATGGATCGTCACAATTATCAAATAGGATTTATACCAGGAATTCAGGGATAATTTCACAAATATAAATCCATAAGTTGTGATATACCACATCAGCAAGAATAAGGAGAGAAATGATACATTGTCTCAATAGATGTGGGAAAAGCCCTGGACAAATTTTAACATCCTATCATGATTAAGAAAGGAGAAAAAAAAGTTACACATAGAAGGAATGTGCCTCAACACACACACACACACACACACACACACACACATACAAAGGCCATATATGTTAATACTTACATCTAATATCATCCTCTTTGGGGGAAAATTGAAAACTCTTCTATATGATCAGGAAGCCAAGGTGGAAAGAGAATAGAAGTTCATTAGATTAGCCAGAGGGTAATAAAGGGAAGGGAGGAGAGACAGGAATTGGAAAGAGTGGAATGAATCAGTCATAACTTTGCTATGTTCGTATATAAATACACAACCAGTGAAACTCTACATCATGTACAACCATAAGAATGGGATTCTAATTAGAATAAGTTATACTCCATATCTGTATAACCTGTCCAAAAACACTTTAATGTCATTTATATCTAAGAAGAACAAATTAGGTGAAAGAAAATGAAAAAACCTTCCCAAGTCACACAGGATCTAAACCCATGCCATCTTGTTTCAGGGTTTGCCTCTTTGGTACTCTGCTATCAAGCCTCTCTTTGTGAGTGGTTGGGAGGATGTATCCTAGAACTTAATTTTGCTGTTCATCTTGTTATATTATTTCATTCCTCCTAGCATTAGTGTGAGAAATAAAGAGAAAACCTGACACATACCAAAAAAAAAATCAGGAATCAGAATACATAGTCTACTCACCACTTCAATTCAACATAGTTCTAGAAGTCCTATTGAGAACAATTAGGTTAGAAAAGAAACAAAAGGCATGTATATTTGCAGAAAAGAAATTAAACTATTCCTGTTTTCAGATGACATTATGTTATATGGAAAAAATTCTAAAGACTCCACCAAAAACTGTTTAAATCGTGAACAAATTTGGTAAAGCCTTAGAATACAAAATCAACGTGTAAAAATCAGTAGTGTGAGTCATATGCTAACAATAAACTACCTGAAAAAACAATTCAGAGTTCAATCCAATTTACAACAGCTAAAAATTAAGATTCTTAGGTGTAAATTTAACAAAGGAGGTTGAAGTCCTATACACTAATTATAGAGCATCGCTGAAAGTATGAGATAAAGAAGTAGGAACATTTATATTTCATTTTCTCTCATAAAAGGGTTTCATCTCTCTTCTAGTTTATTCTTAATAGGTTGGTTTCTGAAAAACTTGAATGCAAGAGCTAACAGTACAAACAATGGCTCTGTAACAACTAGAGCCAGCACTCATCATTGCACAATATTTCCCTCTTGCTTACCCCAGTGATATATTCTGGACTACTCATTCTTCCTGAAAAGAGTATGGTCGTGAACTGAGTAGGATGTCTATAGCCCCCAGTGTTAGTGCTATCTCCTTAATGACCTACTCCTACTATTTCATGGGTTTGCATTCCTGGGTGACTTTAGAACACAGAAAATAGAGAAGTGCATGTACAAAAGACTCACTTTTAGCAGCTATCTCCCCAGAACGTGCATTTGAAATGTGAATACAGCACTTGACATAGATCCTATTCTCGGTTTAGTGCAGAGAAAAAGGGACATAAGTACCTAGAATCAGCATTTTCATTAATATGGAAAAAATGGAAAACACAGTTACACCCCCAACCTTCCAGCTACCTATGAATTTTGGTTACTACTTTACCAGTGTTGGAATACTATTAGGACAGGGCACGTCCTAAGCTCCACGAGACCATAAAAAAACAGAGACAGAGGTCAGAAAAAACAAAAAATATTTGAGAAAAACGTTAACATTTCCCACCAAGTAGATCACTGAGATCCTCCTCCTACCTGAGGTGAGACTTCAAGATGGGAGGGGTAGTTGTTTATCAAATATGTATGAATCAACACAGAGAATGAAGGTTAATGAGAAAATATACTTCAGTTAATAGAATAAGATAAAATTTCTGGAAATCAATCCGAGTGATATATGATGTATCTGACAAGAATTCAAAATAATGGTTTTTAAAATGCTCATCAAAGGCAGGAGAGAAAAGCAAGAATAAACTGAGAGTATCAATTTAAAAATAGAAAGAATTAAAAATTGAAAAATAAAAATTACAGGTCTGAAGAATACTGTCGCTGAACTAAAAAAAATCAATTGGGCATTCAATAGCAGATTAGATCATGTAGAATGAAAACTATGTGACATGAAGATAGGTCCCTGGAAGTCATCCAATCTAAGGATCAAAAATCAAAAGAGCAAACACAATTTAAGGGACTTATGAAACACTGCCATTCACAATAATACAAGCATTATTGCTTTACCCAAATAATAAAACAGAGAAAAT